TCCTATGGACACTTCCGCAAGCACTGCGGCCGTCTCAGGAATAAAAGCATCGATGTGCAGAGTGTACTCTGCTGCCGATGTTACATTTTTCTGCTTTGAAGGGGACTGAAACCCCTTACAACGAATCTAACGGCGTCAGTCTCGCAACTGACCCGATGATTCCCACTGGTGAAACACTGTGCCATATCGCAGAAAGATATCCTTGTCTCAGTTCACAGGTACTGGAACGGTCGCCACACGCGGATGCTGTGGTGACTGACAAGCCACAACAGCTACTGAGCGTTTTCAAGCACAAACACCAGGAGATTTGGTTGAATGGTTACAGCCAATGTACTAACTATGCAGCTGCTGAAAACTCGTACAAAGGGTCCAACCTTTTCGTTTGTGCCTCGGACACCAACACCCACCGCTGGTGGGGGGGTCCCAAAACACAAAGGGGGGGAATACTAGCCCAGACCCATGATGAGCTTCGTCGAGGCCGGTGGGGGGTTTGAGACTACGTGCAACACTGTACGAGACCGCCAGAGCAGGAAACAAATCTAGTTGTAAACTTCCCCATGAGAACAGAGAGGAGCGGACAAGCCCCTCAATGGGGATAACCTTAGAACACATCTGAGATATCACTGAGGTGTACCACACTGGTCATAAAAGAGGTCCAGTGGACTTTCCACCTCCAAAACAAATGGCAACAATAATCATTCCTTGCCATGTGTAGTTTCAACTACAATGCAACTAGTAAAATGCTCTAATCATGTATTCCGGTAGGATAACGTTTCAGAATACATCGGTAGGATAACTGGTCCCCTTGAGTACCAGTACCAATGCCAGCAACAGTCAGTCCATCCACACTCAGTAAGAAGGCTAGAGAACTAACAAGTCCAATTGCCCTTGATAACAGTGACAGAAGAGTTGGCAGGCACTCAGGTTGCAACATGTGGGAAAGTCTCTGTAGGACACTATTCCGGTGGTAAACACACATACTACTCTCCTGAACAAAATCCCCTCATATCTACTGCCCCTCTCAATGGTGCACAACATATTGACCTCAGCTACCACAACCACGATAAAGCCAAACAGTCACATTGTTAGACCTACTGCTGCTAGGTAGCTCTCTCTCTCTGCTCTCCCCCTCCCCTCTGTCTGTTCTTAATTGCAGGAGTGAAGTCTGGTGTGCGGGAGTCAGGGTTCCAGCTGCAGCTCATTCACCATAATCACCTCAGCCTTAAAGACCCGGTCAAACTTGCCACTCATCGTCAGATCATAGTCAAGACGACCATGTTAGTCTCGCTGCTGACTCAACCTGCTTGTTTTCGCTCTTGTGTTTTTGGCCGGTTCAATTTATATTTCTCCTGTGCCATAGATTATTGGAACCTGACTCCTGCCTCCGCTTCCCTCCTGCCACCACCATCCTGCTTTCCACTACTGGACCTCACATTTGGACTCACCACGGACACTAGGACGTTACGGTACCACTCCTGCTCAGAACCCTGGATCTGTTACCCTCCCTGTAGACCTGGACTTGCTCTTCCCCTATTTTTGGAAACCTGGACAATTTAACTTTGAAATAAACCTGTTAAACCTTCTCTGGCTCGGTGTAGTTGTCTGCATTTGGGTTCATATTCAGTTTAAATCGTGACACACATTTGACCTATAGTCTGGGGTTGGCAATTCTAATCCATGTTGGTTAATCGTAATGAAGTGGGATTTTTACTGACGCTACCGGTTGTTGAAATGGAGAATATCTATAGATTGAAAACGGTTCTAAACGTAGGTTTTTGGTGCAACAGCACCCATGTGAAAATCGCCACACCCCCAGTCTAAGTTTATCAGGAACACAATCCAGATTTCTATCTTACCCCTAACCTGTTAATGTGTACTCTAACCAAAGACGTCCACTACCTTTGTTCTAGCAAACCATTCGTCAGGGATAACACTGAGCGCCTTCGTGGACTTAAGCCTATCGCCAGCGAATAATGCTGTAGAGCCAAACTGACAGCAAGGGATGGGGTCACAGGTGGATGTGGTAGGGAATCGATGGCTGGTTAACATCCTGCTCACGTCCGCCACTATGACTTTCGAACTCCATGACTCAACCACCCAACTGAACCTCCCCAACAAGACTGTTTTTGTTAAGGTACCAGAGGAGGCGATTATCCACATAGATGACCTAGCCCTATACCAACTTCCCGACGACAGGATAGGCACAGATATTGAAATTCCTGACGCTTTTGCTAAACGTTCTCTTTAGTTACCATAGACCATTCAAAGCCAAATCCATTACTAGGGATCAATGACTGTTGATGTTAACGTACTGGATGAGGCACTCTTAGTTGACCCGACTGACTATATGAAAAAAGATTGGTCTGTCTCCCACTCTTGGACGGTGCCGGACAGTATACTGACTGTTACTATGATCCTTGGTCTTATTGCCCTTGACGTGTGCACCTACTATGTACACAGGCGCACACACGCAATGGAAGACCTAATGAGGTCTTATGCTAGGATCACCGCTGGGACGGAAGCAATCCGATTTTTGGAAGGTTGGTAATAGATCCTGAAATGCCATCAGGTGGTCCATCCACAGCATCCCCAGCCTCTTCTCCAGAGTCCGCTAAGTCAGCCATGTGGTGTCCCTATGTAAGCTTTGTCCTTCAGGGTGCCATTTTAGAGAGTGCCTTAACTACCCACCTTCAAGTAGGATTGCCCTAGATATGACATTAGAGGCAATGCCATGATAGAGTAATTTAGCCAAAACATGGGACGAATATAGAACATAGTCCAATTAGATTATTAAGGTGTGGGGGGGGGGGGGGGGGGGGCGTTTGACCAGCAGCTTGCTTGTACCAGTTTCTACAAGGAGACACAAAACAGGACATCCGATGGTCATTCTTTTGGTGGATTACAACTTTTATAAAAACTTTGTAACGAAAATATTGTAACTTGAAGAGCTTTCATACTGTGCATTTTAAGTTTGCATCCGTTACGTTGTGTAGGAAATATCCAGGAGGAAGATAATATTTTTGTAAAGCTAGGAAGATGATTTTGGTTCTCTAAAGAAATCATAGTGTTCAGAACACTTTGCCCCTGTAACTAGCCATGCCTACGGGAGCTCAGAAAGAGTGTCCGCATGACGTAAACACCCTCTTTACCAGAGTGTATAAAAGGTTGAGTTAAGAATCAACAGGTAGACTAGGCGGACCTCAAGCTGTAGCTAGGTCTATATTGGTCCCGACCCTGAAAACCAACACGCGGTTGAAGAAGACAAAGGAGCCTCTAACAGTCAATGCTACGATTAGGAAAATGTTCTAAGTACTGTGTCTAAGAAAGTGAATTTCAGTAGGACCATCTGGCTACTCTCTTCAAATCATCTTCAACAACACTGTTCTCATCACCCTATCGACACGGATCATCAACACGGCTGATTAGCCATCCTCAGAAGATCACTCTTCCAGAAGACAACTATCATCCAGAACACGAGGAGAAGACCCCATTGAGCCCTTTCCACAGAGGCCTGGGTCCAAGAGAGATACATGATCTCCAACACGTAAATACATGCATTACTTCTTACCAAACGGGCGGCAGTTCGGGGCAAGGTATTAGGATTACTGTGAGCGTAGTTCCATGTGTATCCAAGTGTTCTCTCTCTCCCTCTCTCTTTAACTGGCCATCTTCTGTAACAAGTGTCATATTGAGTTAGTCCGCTAGGGACCCGTTTTCATTGTATTAAGTTTCTAATCTCTACTTATACCGTGTATGTGTTTGTATCTTGTGTTATCATTTTAATTAGTTAGTAAATAAATGATTGAATCAATTTGTGTGGTACGGAATGATCAGTAAGACCTGGGTTGGTGCAGATTTAAGGAGTCTACGACTTTCAGAATTAGACTTATGAGGTAAGTGATTAATAACTGACTGTTAAATGATATAAGAGATATCTAGATATCTTTAGAGTTAATTCGGGAAATGTTAACTCGTTAAACAACTTTCCCTGTGGTGCCCTAAATTCCTAATGAGTTAATTGTTGCATAATTAATTTCATCTAGTAACAATTAAACATAGTAGGTAAATATTCGATAAATAACAGTCATCACATTAATGAAAGTCATGTCACGACAAGTGTCTTCAGTTTGTTATTGAAGTGTAAATAAAATTAATTTAACACGAGGTCCATCATTGTCAATTTACTGATGTAACCATGATTCATGATTCAAGTCATAAGAATAATTTTTGTGCCATCATATACATATATATTTTTGTATAATATCTCTTTAAGGCAATAATGTAACTTTATGAAGTTCATTTACATAAGAGATTATGCTAAAATCTTACTGAGGAGAAGCAAACTAAGATTGGTGGATTACCCCTCATAGAGGTAGGCCTAGTAAACCATGCAAAAGGCATTATGGTCAAATTGATATATATGACATAAGTATTGTATCAATTAGCAGGCCTAAAGCATTCAGCCAATAGATTACAGTAAGAGAAGTGTTATAGAACTGTAGTCCCAGATACATATCACTGGTCTTTTGATTACACTAACTGCTTATTGGTTGGAAATGGAACAGGAAATGTTGAACTTTAGTTTTTTCCAACCAATCAGGTAATTCTTAGAATTCAAACCAGCCTATATTTCTGCTCACATCAGTCATTTCATTTTGGGACTGTAGACCAACTGTTGTTACAGCACATCAAGATGATCAGAATCAACCTTGTTTGGATGTTAGTCAGTCAAGTATGTAAGTACCAGATTAACCAACTGTCCCATATTGTACTGTCATACTGGATAAAAATATTTAATACTGATCGTATAATGATGTCTGATTGAAAGGTTATGTCTTCAGATTCAAAATGAGGCAAATTATGATGCCAATATATTTGTGGTCAATATATTTGTGGTGAAATATATATATATATATATATATATATATATTTAAAACTTATTTTCTGAAAGAATGGATAACATAGCTGACAATCTGATTTCTTTCACATTTTTTGTAGTCCTGATTCACACTGAAGAAGTTCCTCTGCAAATTCCACTGACCACAGCTCAGCTCGGAGAGTCTGTATCTCTTCCATGTCTCTTCTCAGAGACAATTGATTATTTCCAATGGCTGTACTGGTACAAGCAAGCTGCTGGTCAAACGCCCCAAGTTGTGGCAACTGTGGAAAAGAAAAAATCTGTAGATTTTGTTCTTAATGGAGAGTTTAACAACATCCGTTTCACAATGGAGAAAGTAAAAGATGGATATCTTCTCATCATCAACAATATCAGCAGATCAGATGAGGCAGCATACTTCTGTGGAATAGGAACAGTGTATGAGATGAATTTTAGAAATGGAACATTTTTGTCTGTAAAGGGTAATTTTATTTCAGTAATATGATTTATCTCAATGTTTATCAAAACATTTTTCTTTGTTAAGTTATGCATAGTTATAGATGCTGAGTGTGCTGCATACATATGTTTCTAGAGAGCCAAACTGCAATAATTGTGTATTCACGTGACACTGACATTTCCTTCCATAAAAACAACATAAATTAGGTGTCAGTCAGAAGAGGTCACACTACCAGACTGTAGAGCAACAGACAGTTTCTGATCCAGTCCATCCAGGAGACTCTGTGACCCTACAGTGCACAGTACTCTCTGAGACCTGTACAGGAGAACACGGTGTGTACTGGTTCAGAGCCGGATCAGGGGAATCCCATCCAGGAGTCATTTACACCCCTGGGAACAGGAGTGATGAGTGTGAGAAGAGCCCTGAGACTCCCTCTCCTACACAGAGCTGTGTCTACAACCTCTCCAAGAACAACCTCAGTCTCTCTGATGCTGGGACTTACTACTGTGCTGTGGCCACATGTGGGGAGATCCTGTTTGGCGACGGAACAAAACTTAACATCATTAAAGGTACAGCTTCTTGTTAAATTGATAAAGCACCTTACACTTGAAAATCTTTATTCAAACATTCAAGCATATTTTATAGATACCATTATTTAGTTTAAATGGTTCAAAGCTAAAATAATTGTATTATCAACTATGCATGCTTACCATAAAACATAAAAAGCATGTTGAATTTATTTTCGTACCAGGAAACACAGTGGATCCCATTGTCCTCAGCTTGGGAGCAGCAGTGGCTTTTTGTGTGATTCTAATTTTTATTCTCGCTTGTACCAAAAACAAGAGGCAAACATGTGATCATTGTAAAGGTAAGTCATTTTAGAGATACATATCTATTGGTTTGTGTCAGCAATGACAATTTAAAAGTAAAATCTCACCTCATGTTCTGTATATTCTGTCTCCATTTTCATTCTTGGATTTCTATCTGTTGATACAGCAAGTGTCTCTCAGCATATTCACCATGATGATAACCTCTCACCAGAGCAGTCAAGTGGTCAGGTATGTAACATCTATACTATCCAATGTGTGAAAACAAGAGGTACATTCCCTGTTACACAGGAGTGTGTATATTTATGGATACATCACTAAGTACAGCAGTAACCCATGAGATGTTGCGGCAGTGTTGTGTGTCATAAAGAAAACCTGTATTTAAATATATTACTAATTAGAACCTGCAGCCATAGTTTTATTTCAATGTATAGGTACATTTTAGATATGGGGCTTTAAGATGTTAAGTTACCCTCATATTCACTAGCTTATTTATTGTCCAAAAATCTGTAGTGTAACTTAAAATGTTATAATGAACATGCTCACAACATCAGTATTGGACATTAAAAAGTAAATGCTTTAGAAATGTTTTAGTTTTATTAAAAATGTGTTCTTGCATAGTCATTGCCTGTAATTAACTAGTAGGAAGACATATTTTATATATATATATATTTTTTTAACCTTTATTTAACTAGGCAAGTCAGTTAAGAACAAATTCTTATTTACAATAACGGCCTACACCGGCCAAACATATGACACTAAGATTGTGATTGCGATATCCTCAAATGTCAGGGAAAATGACTTTAAAAGCTGCATTGTTGGCGGTCCAGTGCCCTGTGCTAAGAATTGAATCATAGCTTCAGCAAGCACATTCCCATGACCATAATACTGTTAATGTTATTATTTTGACTTTTCTGTTATTGTGCACAATGGAGATATTATTTTCTGTACTCTATTACTTAGGTGCCAATCACAGATATGTTGAATTATGCTGCATTGAATTTCTCTGAGAGGAAAACTAAAAGAGGAAGAAAGAAGAGAGAGACACCACAGGAGAGTGTGTACTCTGATGTCAGGTACTCAGACTGGGAGTGAACTTTGTTTCAGATACAGCATGGACGAAATTATCTCAGTCAAGCATCTCTATTTAGACAAAATGTAAACATTTTGGTAAAAAACATCTCAGGACATTGCTTTCGTATCAACTTTTACAGTTTTACAACACAATATCCGAATACTATACAATAGACAATGGAATTCCATCCATGTTTCTGCTCAAAATGTCTTCTGGAGTGGTCCTCCTACTCTGAGCTAGCTGATGTCAACTAGTAGCAGGAGGGAATTTAGCTTTATATGTCCATGTACACCACATGACCAAAAGTATGTGGACACCTCCTCATCGAACATCTCATTTCTAAATCATGGGCATTAATATGGAGTTGGTGCATTCCGAAAGTATTCAGACCGCTTTACTTTTTCCAAATGTTGTTACGTTACAGCCTTATTCTGAAATGGATTAAATTGTTTCCCCCCCTCATCAATCTACACACAATACGCCATAATGACAAAGCAAAAACAGGTTTGTAGAAGCTTTAGCAAAAAACGAATAAAAAAATCTTAGTATTCAGACCCTTTACTCAGTACTTTGATGAAGCACCTTTGGCAGCGATTGCAGCCTTGAGTCTTCTTGGGTATGACGCTACACGCTTGGTACACGTGTATTTGGGGAGTTTCTCCCATTCTTCTCTGCAGATTCTCTCAAGCTCTGTCAGGTTGGACATTCAGAGACTTGTCCCGAAGCCACTCCTGCGTTGTCTTGGCTGTGTGCTAAAGGTTGTTGTCCTGTTGGAAGGTGAACCTTCGCCCCAGTCTGAGGTCCTTAGCGCTCTGGAGAAGGTTTTCATCAAGGATCTCTTTGTACTTCATCTTTCTCATCTTTCCCTCGATCCTGACTAGTATCCAAGTCCCTGCCACTGAAAAACATCCCCACAGCATGATGCTGCCACCACCATGCTTCACCGTAGGTATGATGCCAGGTTTCCTCCAGACGTGATGCTTGGCATTCAGGCCAAAGAGTTCAATCTTGTTATCATCAGACCAGAGAATCTTGTTTCTCATTGTCTGAGAGTCTTTAGGTGCCTTTTGGCAAACTCCAAGCGGGCTGTCATGTGCCTTTTACTGAGGAGTGACTTCCGTCTGGCCACTCTACCATAAAGGCCTGATTGGTGGAGTGCTGCAGAGATGGTTGTCCTTCTGGAAGGTTCTCCCATCTCCACAGAAGAACTCTGGAGCTCTGTCAGAGTAAACATTGGTGTATTAGTCACCTCCTTGACCAAGGCCCTTGTCCCCTGATTGCTCAGTTTGGCCAGGCGGCCAGCTCTAGGAAGAGTCTGGGTGGTTCCAAACTTCTTCCATTTAAGAATGGCCACTGTGTTCTTGGGGACCTTAAATGCTGCAGAAATGTTTTGGTACCCTTCCCCAGATCTGTGCGTCGACACAATCCTGTCTCGGAGCTCTACGGACAATTCCTTCGACCTCATGGCTTGCTTTTTGATCTGACATGCGCTGTCAACTGTGGGACTTTATATAGACAAGTGTGTGACTTTTCAAATCAAGTCAAATCAATTGAATTACCACAGGTGGACGCCAATCAAGATGTAGAAACATCTCAAGGATGATCAATGGAAACAGGATACACCTGAGCTCAATTTCGAGTCTCATAGCAAAGGGTATGAATACTTAGTTATTTCAGTTTTTTATTCATAATAAAATAGCAAACATTTCTAAAAACCTGTTTTTGCTTTGTCATTACAGTGCCTTGCAAAAGTATTCATCCCTCTTGGCGTTTTTCCTATTTTGTTGCATTACAACGTGTAATTTAAATTGATTTTTATTTGGATTTCATGTAATGGCCTTAAACAAAATAGTCCAAATTGGTGAAGTGAAATGAAAAAAATTACTTGTTTCAGAAAATGCAAAAAAATAATAATAATGGAAAAGTGGTGCGTGCATATGTTTTCACCCCCTTTGCTATGAAGCCCCTAAATAAGATATGGCACAACCAATTACCTTCAGAAGTCAAATAATTAGTTTTAAAAAGTCCACCTGTGTGCAATCTAAGTGTCACATGATCTCAATATACATACACCTGTTCTGAAAGGCCCCAGAGTCTGCAACACCACTAAGCAAGGGGCACCACCAAGCAAGCGGCACCATGAAGACCAAGGAGCTCTCCAAACAGGTCAGGGACAAAGTTGTGGAGAAGTACAGATCAGGGTTGGGGTAAAACAACATATTTTGCATCTTCAAAGTGGTAGGCATGTTGTGTAAATCAAATGATATAAACCCCCCAAAAAACAATTTTAATTCCAGGTTGTAAGGCAAGAAAATAGGAAAAATGCCAAGGGGGGTGAAGCCACTGTATGGGGTGTTGTTTGTAGATTGATGAGAAAAAATGTATAATATAGTCCATTTGATAAAAAGGCTGTAATGTAACAAAATGTGGAAAAAGTGGTGTCTGAATACTTTCTGTAATGTACTGTAATTGTTAATACTGTTCAGAATAATTTAATGATCTAGTTCAGTCATGTATTTTTATAATACTTTGTTTGTATACCATTTATAACAATATACATTGAGATTGAGATTTATAACCCTAGTTCATTAAGTTTCATTTGAACTTGTATCATAGAATGAACTCATACTTCATAAATCTATGAATATGTATATTTAGTGAAATATTTGTTATTTCTCATTGCATCATCAATGTATTTTGATATTTTTTTTATCTTGAATATGGTAAGGTCTCACACGTGTCAGTAAAGTTTTAACAATATGCATTTGTATTTGACCCTATAATGTTGCAAAATATTAAAATGCAAATGAATTTTTTTATTTATCTTTTTGAGTCAACCTTACACATTATGCTTCACACTCAGCGTTAAACGGGAATTTCAGGATTTTACAACTTCATGTTAGATGGTTCCTCAACTTGAAAGTAGTCTATGTGTCAAGGCAAAATGTAATCCATTGTTCGGTTCTCTCTAAACAGGAACTACAGACTTCAGCTAACTTTAGCCACAGCTAGCTAATATCTATGGGAATTATAGGGGCCACTTTCATGCAATTTTCATGGCCAAATAATCTCCATATTTGGTTTGATGTTACTTAAAGATGATTGTTCCATAAATAAAACACTGCACAATTGCCCTATCACTTCCATTGATTGTTAGCTGTCGGTGGCTAAAGTTTGCATGAATTTGTAGTGGCTGTTTCCCAGACACAGATTAAGCCTAGTCCTGGACGAAATAGCTCTTTCAATGGAAAATCTTTTTAGTCGTGATCTGTGTCTGGGATATATGGCATCACTAAGCAATATCTTGCTGTAAAGTAGGCCAACAAATTAGTGCACACCATAAATCTTTAGATTACATACAGTACATGGCTGAAAATGGGTGGAAACGTTAAACAGGAAGTGATGCATGTCTTTCCCCTAACCAATCAAGTCATTCTTATATTTTAAACAGCCCACAATTATTTTCATTTAGTCAGTCAGTCATTCATAGTAACAAAGAAAAACAGTTGTTAAAGCTACAGTCAGTCCATATTAAGATGATCACAATCTACCTTCTTTGGGGACTTCTCTCTCAAGTGTGTAAGTGCATGTCCTAATCTCAAATAGTATTTTACTGAGCAGTAAAATTGAAAATCGGTAAAGAATAACACTATCTTATTGGAAAATCATGTCTAAAGGTAATGAAATGTATTCCGTTTGGACAGCAATGTGACCGATATAGCATCAGGCAATTTGAATTGCAGTAGTTTGATGACATCATTAAAGAAATACACTGCTATTCAAAGGTTGAACATTGTCCATTTCCATTTCAAATTGAAATCTGATAACATTCACATTTTGGCAGACCTGATTCAGACTGAAGATGCTCCTCAACCAATACCAGTGACTACACGTCTATTTGGAGACACTGTATCTTTGCCATGTCCCAAAGCGGAATCTCAACAATTGCTGTACTGGTACAGACAAACTGTTGGCCAACTGCCCAATCTTGTCGCTTCTGTATCCTATGGATCAGAACCTGTACTTAAAGGAGAGTTTCAGAACCCACGTTTCAAAGTGGAGAAATCTGAATATGTGTACAATCTCATTATCAGAAATATCAGCACATTAGATGAGGCAACATACTTTTGTGGATTGGGGACAATGTATGGGATGAACTATGGAAATGCAACATTTTTGGCTGTGAAAGGTAATTTAATTTAAATTGTGTGTTTCAATGTTCACCAAGTGTTTTTGTGTATTTTTTTTTAGTACACTGCCATGTACTAAATATGTTCAGAAAAAAATAACAGACAATCTTGATGCAGTATGCATAGAAAGTGGATATTCATGGAAAGTGTCATAATCATCAAATGTAAAGACAACTCGTCATTTTTGGAGACAGGTTTTTGAAATGACAACGTTACGGTATAGGTAGCAAAAGAGTGTAGAAACGGCAGCTAACTAACTTTGACTATAAACAACTCTTCAGCTGGCTAGCTAAGCATCTTGGCTGACTGTGGGGCAAATAAATTTGAATAATTACTGACAAATAAAGAAAACATTTATAGTTTATTAGCAACCGCACCACTCTTTTCTAGCAAACAAAACGCTGTTTCCAAAACTGCCATGTGCCTAAAGGAATGTATACTATTTAAAATTCTATGATGTCTCAACTTTACAAGCTTATGAATAATTATTTTCTCAATACAATATTACAATATAGGACACAATCACCTTTCATTGGTGCAGCAACCAGTTTCTGACCCAGTCTATCCAGGAGACTCTGTGACTCTACAGTGTACAGTACTCTCTGGGACCTGTACAGGAGAACACAGTGTGTACTGGTTCAGAGCCGGATCAGGAGAATCCCATCCAGGAGTCATTTACACCCCTGGGAACAGGAGAGATGAGTGTGAGAAGAGCCCTGAGACTCCCTCTCCTACAAAGAGCTGTGTCTACAACCTCTCCAAGAACAACCTCAGTCTCTCTGATGCTGGGACTTACTACTGTGCTGTGGCCACATGTGGGGAGATCCTGTTTGGCAACGGAACAAACCTAAGTATTGGTAGGTTATGAATATTATGAGTTATAGTTTCGAAATTAGAGGATAATGTTTAGAAATATTTAAGTGGTGAATGTACACTGAATGTACAACACGTTAAACACATCTTCCTAATATTGAGTTGCACCGCCTTTTGCCCTCAGAACAGCCTCAATTCATCGGGGCATAGACTCTACAAGGTCTCGAAAGTATTCCACAGGGATGCTAGCCGATGTGGACTCCAATGCTTTCCACAGTTGTGTCAAGTTGGCTGGATGTCCTTTGGGTGGTGGATAATTCTTGATACACACGTGAAACTGTTGAGCGTGAAAAACCCAGCAGCGTTGCAGATCTTGACACACTCAAACCGGTGCGCCTACCCCATTCAAAGGCAATAAAAAAATTTACCCTCTGAATGACACACATACAGTGGATTTAACAAGTGACATAAATACGGGATCATAGCTTTCACCTGGATTCACCTGGTCACTCTGTCATGGAAAGAGCAGGTGTTCATAATGTTTTATACAGTCATTGTATAGCACAGTGGTTGAGGTCTATGTGCCTTTTGCTATAACAGTATTCTCATCATTGACCAGAAATGAATCTTCAGCTGTAAATTCTTAGATTTTGTAAACAAAATACAACTTGCTGATAGTTATGAATAACTAATTTAAAGAAATATAAACTAAATATTTTAACAAATCTCTCCTTCAATCCATGTCTTTTATATGACAATGATAACAATGTTATTTAATGTGTATAGCGCTTTTTATTACAAAAATAATCTCAAAACGTTAAAAAGCAAAACAAAATGACAAACACAACAAATATACAGTTTTTTACAATCACTTTGGCACTGATTTCAGAACCTTGACGTCATTTTTCAAAACTCTAGACACAAAACTCAAAACGGTCATCACTTGTAACACAGGCTGTCCAATGTTCAAAACATTGCATTGTGCATTCATATCTTTAAAGAAATCTTGCACTTGCACAATCATTGGTTCAAAAAACAAATTTATTGTGAAATACCAATGAAACTTTAATTTAGATCACCCACACACAAGCAACCGATAGTTTCACTGTGTCATTGTTCGTACGATCATTAAATATTGTAGTACAAAATAGGTGATACATGTTTCATTATGGTACTACATGTAAATACATCCCTGTAAAAGTACTGCAGTAGTAGAGAGAATACTACAGACACAGTGGAATCATTGAACAAAATCTGAAATATATTGATGAAAAACAATACAGTACTGTAAAACATCAAATGCAGTGTTCCTCAACTTGCTTGCTTGTACTGTAAAAAGTAAAACATAGGAGAGATTACTGTACTTCTACATTTTCATCAACTCTGTCTTGTGGTTTTGGCCACAGGTTCTCATCTACATCCCAATGGATGTTTTCATTAGCCAAACATCTTAGAAAAAACCTTTGGCCATGGCGAATCCAGGCCTGACACTGGTCTGCCGTGATGTCATTGCATGCGTCATCCATGGCCTGGAGAAGAGTGACTTGTTCATGAGGGCGCCTATCATAAACCTTCCATCTCCATGTGGAGAAAAATTCCTCAATCGGGTTAAGGAAAGGAGAGTATGGGGGTAAATACAGGGTGGTAAATTGTGCATGGGCCTGAAACCATGCTTGCACCATATGAGCATGGGGATGTAGCTCAGTTGGTAGAGCATAGCGTTTGCAACGCCAGGGTTGTGGGTTCGATAAAATAATGTATGCACTAACTGTAAGTCGCTCTGGATAAGAGCGTCTGCTAAATGACTAAAACGTAAATGTAAATGTAAATGAACCTGACATTATCCCACACAATGACATAGGTCACGCCACCAGCTCTACAGGCTTGATCGAGCACATCAAGGAAGGTTACAAGGGGACCATAGAAACGGTGTCTGATAAAGAATGATGATGAAATATTACATCCATAGATAATGTAGTCTAATTGGTTCATGCTCCACGCTAATTGGTGACAATGAATCTCGTTACTTTGAAACTTTCATGATCTAAACATGGAATATTGTTTCTCTGTTTCCATACAACTATGCATTAAGAGCAATGCAACAGTTACTTATCATTTTGAGCAGTTGTATCAATTGATAGTTGGATAATTGTAATGAAATGAATAGACACTCATCTGAAATGTAATGTGTGAATTGCCTTTTGAAATAGTAATACTGTGATGTTAAGTTGTGTCATATTGAACAGGTGACTTTTGTTAAATGAACAAATTATCTTAGTTGTATGTGTATTGTATCTAAGCAATTGAAAAAAGTGTTAGAGTTTTGAAAAATGTGCATTTTGATCATTGGTTGTCAGTTTTGTGTCTAGAGTTTTGAAAAATGACGTCAAGGTTCTGAAATTAGTGCCAAAGTGATTGTAAAAAACAGTAAATTGAGATGATGGAAATTGAGATTTAATGTCCTTAGACAGATTAGAATGATGGAGATGGAGATTGAATGTCCTTAGACAGATTAGGATGATGGAGATGGAGATTGAATGTCCTTAGACATATTAGGATGATGGAGATGGAGATTGAATGTCCTTAGGCAGATTAGGATGATGGAGATGGGGATTGAATGTCCTTAGACAGATTAGGATGATGGAGATGGAGATGGCATGTCCTTAGGCAGATTAGGATGATGGATATGGAGATTGAATGTCCTTAGACAGATTAGGATGATGGTAATGGGGATTGAATGTCCGTAGACAGATTAGCATGATGGAGATGGAGATTGAATGTCCCTAGACAGATTAGGATGATGGAGATGGAGATTGAATGTCTTTAGACAGATTAGGATGATGGATATGGAGATTGAATGTCTTTAGACAGATTAGGATGATGGATATGGAGATTGATGTCCTTAGACAGATTAGAATGTGGATATGGAGATTGAATGTCCCTAGATAGATCAGAATGATGGAGATGGAGATTGAATGTCCTTAGACCGATTAGGGAAAGGGAGTTGAGGAAGTTTGGGTTGGAAAGGCAGGATATAGATGAAGAGAGAGCCCCTCATCAGAGCACCACACCTGCTTCTCCTGCATTCACTTCCTCCATAGAAGCCGCTCCTTTACGTAGGTACTGGTCCTCCATTACCAAAAAGGTAGCAACCACCTGGGTGATGCCACGGCTGTTGAAAAGCGCTTGAAAAGTCACTGCAAATAAACACTTATTAGGAACAGTCCCCGATCCTCCTCTACCATCTACAGAAGGGTGATATATATCTCTCTTACTATTTTATGTTAATATAAGGGTGGTATAGATCTCTCTTGCTATTTTATTTTAATATAAGGGTTGTATCTATCTCTTTCACTATTTTATTTTATTATAAGGGTCGTATATATCTCTATTACTATTTTATTTAAATACAAAGGTGGTATATATCTCTCTTACTGTTTTAATTTATTTTAAGGTTGTATATCTCTCTTGCTATTTCATTTTAATATTAGGGTGGTATATCTCTCTCTTACTATTTTATTTGAATACAAGGGTGGTATATATTGACTCTTATTTTTTATGTTTTCTTCCTTTTAGAAAGATCTCTGGATAATGTAGTCATTGGACTGGGAGTGACATCAGTTTTCTGTGTGATTGTGATCATTATCCTCGTTATCAGCAGAAATACAAAGCCAATTTGTGAACATTATAAAGGTGAGCTCTTTGGTATTACAAACTGTAGACAAACACCTAATACATTGTAGTACACAATATTTGTCATCAAGTATAATACCTCTGTCTTTTACCTATCTTGACTTTTGTCATGTTGATGCTTTGTTTTTATTCATGTTAACAGTGAGTGTTGCACAGCATGGACATGACAACTTAACCACCGAACGTGATCAGGTAAATAAATACAATTGTTATAATATTGGCCTGTTGGTAGATGATTTGTAATATGATACTGAATACTCCAATTACCTGACTATTATTATTATGACTACATTTATTTATTAAAAACCGTGATGATGACTCACAGGATCAAGATGGAGTTACGTTGAATTATGCTGCATTGAATTTCTCTGAGAGGAAGACTAAAAGAGGAAGAAAGAAGAGAGAGACACCACAGGAGAGTGTGTACTCTGATGTCAGGTGCTCAGACTGGGAGTGAACTTTGTTTATGTGCAGAGGAATGGGTGTAGTTTGGTCAGGAAACACTTGTCAATATAGATGTATATAATGTATTCAGACAGTCATGACATTTTAGCCTCACTGATACTATAATGTATAATATAAATAGCTTGTTCTTCTAGGAGTGTTCTCTGTCAGAGGACCACTGTTATGGAACGGCTTGTCCTGTCAGGTAGAGGGCCAGAAAACATTGAGGTCTTTAAATCAAGCCTGAAAATCTACCTTTTAGCTTGGCCTTTAATCTTAATCTGTAATTGTATTGTTATTTTAGACTTCCTTAGTGATTCTATGTTTTCCTCTTGTATCGTATCTCTTGTATCTCAGCCCATTGTTTAGACATACTGTTTAACAGTGAGCCAACTAAGTGGCTTTGTGCTTAGTGACCACCCTGAGATTAGAAAGTTGAGGGTTTGATCCCCGGTCGAGTCACACCAATTACTCCAACAGTGGGACCGAATGCCTTTCTGCTTGGCAATCAGCATAAAGGAGATGGATTGGGTTAAGTGTCCTGTCCCGGAGGTGTACTTGTACATCAAACTGCCTTCCGCTATAGAGTCAGGAGATGGGCTTCTGCCGCTATGAGCCGTTCTGACTCAGCCAACAAGGATTACTTACTTACCTGTTGTTCTACTGTAAAGTTTGTTGCAATTGAAATGTATTTCAAATAAAATGTGAGTTGATCAGCCCAATGTGAAGTCATTTTTCTCTATTTGCAATAATGTATAATACTTTGTTCCCAATGCACAGTAGTAGGTTGCCTCATCTGATGTGCTGATATTGCTGATAATGAGATGAGAGACGTCTTCAGCTTTGTCCACTTTAAAACGTGGGTTATTAAACTTTCCAGAAAGAAGAGGTTTTGAAGAATCAGTAATAGCTGCCACAACATGGGGCATTTAACCAATAGTCTGCTTGTACCAGTACAGGACTTGAAAATGTTTGTTATCTGCGAAAAGGCATGATAGACATATGGAGTCTCCGAGCTGAACAGGGGTCAGTGGAACTGGCTGATGAACTTCTTCATTTTGAATCAGGACTGCAATAGATTTGAAAGAAGTTTTGCAAATACATTAACTACAGACATCAATTTGCAGAATAATTACCAAAGTGGTCAGAGCTATCTGGAAATGGTCTAGGAGAAAGCCTAACCAATGTCCTTAAAACCATGGAAAACACACTGATATGTTGATATTTCCTGTCATAGCTACATTGATATAGCTACAGTATGTCATCCTCTTTCTGCACTACTGCACTACTTTCCAATAGTCTAAGACTTTGATTACACATTCAGTTTGAAAATTCTGCAGTTCAGTAAGACAATTGATTGAGTGAGAAGTACCAAAACAAAGCTGGTTCTGATCATCTTGCTATGTTGCTATTGTTGTGACAAGAGTTTGTCTTATTTCCCCTAACCATGAAACATGTAGTGACTGATGTGATTAAATGAACAGAACTATTCATTTCGCTTGGTGCCTTTGAAATGTACAAATGACCTGAATGGTTGTGCAACACTTCCTGTATATGGTTTTCCACCAACAAGGGTCTGGACATGGTATCACTTTAAATTACATCTTTAACTATAGTGTGATTTGTTGGCCTTATGTATTGATCATTGATGCCATTGCCATATTGATTTTGAACCAGTCCATTGACTTTGAACCAGTCACAACCCACTGGGAACAGACAGTTCAACGTCTAGTTTTTTAATTTACATTTGGTTGAGTTGTCAACTAACGTGAATTCCACGTGAAATCAACCAAAAATGTCACTGTGTTATTGGATTTAGGTTAAAAGTTGGGTGAAAAAAACCTTGAAATTCCCTTTTGTTGATAACTTTTTGCAAATTCAATCAGTTTTCCACATTGATTGAACGTCATCATATTACATTTTTTGTTGTTGAAATGACTTGGAAACAACATTGATTCAACCAGTTTTTGCCCAGTGGGTACACTACAGAGATGGTCCTTGAAGCTGAGAGCAATTGTGGAAGCAAACCTTTCTGATCTCTTAGAACCTCATTTGTTTAAACTTGGTGCTGATTTTAGAGCCCCTGACAAAGGAGCCCCTCACACAGAATGTCCCAAGTGGGGTGTTTCACTGCGGCATCACAAAGCATTGCAAATGGCACATGATTTGCTTTGGCTAAGAGCCCTGGTCACTCTTTTTGGCGAAATGCCTACCACATATCCCAGCTGGTTTTGCTGGATTGCATAAATTCAGAGGTCAGGTCAGAAATTGTGTAAAATGTAGGCCTAAGCCAATGATTTTTGTCAGCTCCCCCTACTGGACCCAGTATTACAATGTGTGTGACTAGGCTGGAAAGATGAGCCATTAAAATGTTATACCTTGAACAACAACAAAGAGGAAGAGGCCAAGCGAGAGGGTCCATTCCCGTCATAATCTGGCCACAAGGGAACACAGTGATAAGTAGACCGTTAAGTAGAACGCCTCCCTTCCCGCCTTTGGGACAACATTTACATTTACATTTGAGTCATTTAGCAGACGCTCTTATCCAGAGCAACTTACAGACAATGACTCCCATTGTTAGGGTCGAAGACAAGACCATCTCATCATTATACAGTATACAGTATCTCTGATAACACACACTCACACACACACACTCGTACACACACACACACACACACACACACACACACACACACACACACACACACACACACACACACACACACACACACACACACACACACAACACACACACACACACACACAACACACACACACACACACACACACACACACACACACACACACACACACACACACACACACACACACACACACACACACACACACACACACACACACACACACACACACACACACACACACACACACACACACACACACACACACACACACACACACAAACAGTTTGGGGTTGTTTTGAGGGGGTGGGAACATCAAGGCTGACACACTGTGAGCATCAGAGAGACAGACAGTCAGCCTGACACCCACCTCCTCTATAATAATAATAATATTATTATTATGAATAATAATAATAACAATAATAATAACACTAATAATTATAATAATAGATTACATTTATATAGCGCTTTTCATTACATTAAGAATGTCAAAGACACAAAGACACACACATATGGGGCTGGACAATACTCTTCCACAGAGGCGGGCAAGTCTAGATGACATCCAACATAAAGTCACACTCCAGTCTCCTTTTCACCTCATTTACCACCTGATTTACTTAACAAAATGCACAGGTGGTCCAGGTGTCCTCATGACGTGGGCTTTTCCTCTTTTGTTCTTGATTGCTCCTCTATTGTTCCTAAAGCAAGGGGGGAGGCTGATGACATCAGAGGGCACCATCAGACCAACTCCTTGAATGGCCTACTCCATGAAGTATGCATTTGTGTCAAAAAATGTTTTACCCTTAAGTGTGCGTACATTACTGTGTTTATATGTGTGATATTGTAAAAAATAAGAAAAGTTAACAAATAGTTGGAGTGTGTCTTTAAGGGACTCAGACTCCTGTCTTTACTCCACCATCTGAGCACACAGTCCTCTTCGTCATAGTCCATGGCTCGTCAGCAGGCAGGCCCAGATGAAGCAAGCATGGGAGGATGGTGGTGGGGCGGTCTTGGGTCAGGAAGACAGGTCTGGAGCTGTTGATAAGGAATCATTCCTTGCCAGCCTCTCTGTAGGCTCTGTGGTAAACGACACTCTTAGAAAAAAAAGGTGCTATCTAGAACCTAAAAGGTTTCTTTGGCTGTCCCCATAGGAGAACCCTTTTAAGTTTCCTTTTTGGTCCCAGGTAGAACTGTTTTGGTTCCATGTAGAACTTTTTTGGGTTCCATGTAAAACCCTTTCCACAGAGGGTTCTACATGGAACGCAAATGGGTTCTACTGGGAACCAAGAAGGGTTCTACTTGGTACCAAAAATGGTTATCCTATAGGGACAGCCAAAGAACCCTTTTGGAAGCCTTTTTTCTAAGAGTGTACTCCGCAAACACATAGTGTAGCAACCACCTGGGTGATTCCAGGCATCCTAGGGTCATTGAGACTTACATACAGTTGTAGCTGCAAAGAAAAAATAATGGAACTACAGGTATATTGAACTATCAATTTTGCTATAGTCCTTTCAAATACTTGTATTAGTTCAAACACAGAAATAGATGACCATCCAGAAGAAATTCCCATCATGATGGATAAATTCACTACTCTACTTTTTTAATCTTGCCATTACTACATATTTGCACTGACCAGTGGCAATTTTAGTACGTAAATCTTCGTGGTGCAAACTCAAAACAATTTTTTTGATGAATGCCAGCAAAGCCACTACACAACACAACACTAAACCCACAAACTGTTAGGGCCTACATAAAGCTGTCCCAACAACAGAGCTTTCTTTTCTGCACCATGGAGTGAATCCTTACCACTGCTGCTGTAGCTCAGTTGGTAGAGCATGGCGCTTGCAACGGCAGGGTTGTGGGTTAGATTCCCACGGGGGGCCAGTATGAAAATAATGTATGCACTCACTAACTGTAAGTTGCTCTGGATAAGAGCATCTGCTAAATGACTAAAATGTACACCTGGCTATCAGCTGATTCTTGTCTGGCAGTGAAACTTCAGCCTCATTTACCAGCTTTTAAAAAAACATAGCTGATATGGCTGACTTGCTTAAACCCAGACTTGGGCCACACACCCACTCCACTGAATAGCAAGCTAGTGATTGCTTTGCAACGCTTGCTGTTAGCCACTGATTCCTTCCAAACCACTCACTGTTGAATTTGCAATTTCCAACTAGTTGTGTAATGTTTATGTCCAATGGCCGATGAGTACCGATACGTTTTATCTATAATTTCTCTTTATATTACAAGGATTGAAAAGGATTTGCGAGTAGATTGTCCACGTCATTCATGATGATGACTGCTTGTCTAGCTTGCTAGCTAAGATTTTGAAAGTATGATGTTGACATGA